ATTATACAAAATATCTGTCAATTAATAAACAAATCGATGTAAAATTACACGACAAATACTTTTTTTTAATGTCGTCACAATTTTTAACAGTATTAAAGGATATTTTTGTAAGTTTATTAAAATTTCCATGTATTTAAAAAAATAATGATAAAATATGTAAAGTAAACGGGGAAAACCTGTAAACTTACAGATTGATTTTTACAGTAAATAGTTTGTTGTAATAATGCCATTGAGAGAAGGAAAAATGTCAACTCCAATATATTTAAATTCAAATAACAACAGTATTAACAACAGATGAACTCTCTTAATTCATTATAAATATTATGTACATTGTGTTGTTGTTGACATCTGGTTGGTAGAAGCAGCACATCTGGATGTGTCTGAACTGTGTGTTGCAGATGCGAGTTGCTCGTCTGGAGCAGCTGCAGAAGGAGCTGCAGGAGGCCCGAGGGAGTCAGGAGAACCAGCTACAGGTCAGAAACACACATTAACACACACACACACACACACACACACACAGAACAACACACACACACACACACACACAATAATACAATAACACACACACACACACACACACACACACACACAATAACACACACAACAATCCATCATCATACAAATGATTGTTTTATGAATGTTTTATTTTTATGACTCATCAATGAATTTTTATTTTGTTTTTAAAAGTCGCAAAAAGGGAACTAACTATATCTAAATTTAAAGTGTTTGTAATGAATCCTTGAATATCTGAAGTCTTCAGATCCAGTTGCTGCAGTTTTGTCCAATCACAGTTACTTTTCCACAAAATTTGACCAATCATTGTTTCCTGTGAGTTTTACCAATCATAGTAGTCCAAGTATAAAACTTTGCACCATACGTCACAAACTACTAAAGATAAGTGTACATTTTATTTTAATTAATATTACAAAAAATTCAACTATTTTTGCAAAAAATCCTTGCTAGCAGCAGCTACGCTAACCCCTTCAGCAGAAAGGAGGGGTGGAAGTGGGTTGCAAAGCGGGCTGCAGAGGAAGCAGCAAAGGCAGGCAGGCTAAAGCAGCTTAAATAAGGCTGCCTGAATGACATTTGCCCATTGGATGCTTAAAGGGAATCAGCTGATGTGTGTTTATGATCAGCTGCAATCAGCTGTTGTAACTGGAATTGTAAGCTGAGCTGAGACTTTGTGGTCTGCCTGAGTTCACTCAGCTCCCTCTGTAGGCTCTATATCTTCAAAACTTATAAGGATCCTAAACGGTTGATCGCCACAGAGCTTATATTCTGCAATAAATAACTTGGTTGGACTACAAAAACAGCATCCTTGCAGCTCTCTGTAAAACATCACTGCAGCAGCCGTTCCCAGTCTAACTCCACCTGACACAGCGACACTGAGCCCTCATAGGCCCAGACCCAAAAACCCGGGTACAGAGGCTCAGTAAAGGTGGAGGTGGAGGTGAAGGTGTGAAGGTGGACCATGGCATCCTGAGAGACGCAGTAGAAGGACAGAGAGCCTGCTGACCAGTTCAGGTAAACCCCGACTCTGTGGGTGAAGGGTCGGGGTGAGGAGGACCTGAACCTCTTGTTATTGTGGCACGGGGTGTAGCTTGCCTCTGAACACTCCAGACTCCAGGACCGCTCATTGTGTCCCAACAGACAGCTCGCCGTGTCTCCATCTCTAGAGATGCTGTTGTACGTGACGCCGATGTCGGCGCCGCCGCTCCACACCACCTCCCAGTACACAGAGTCCAGCAGCCCCTCCCTGCACAGGACCTGAGGGCAACGCTTGAACCGCTCTGGGTGGTCTGACGGACGATTTTCTGACCACACTCGAGTCGCCTTCCTGTTGCTGTTAGTCAGACGGAGCTCTGAGTTGGCAGTGTTGGGGTCAAAGGTCAAATAGCATGCAACTGAGGGACAAAACAAGAAACAAGATTAGTCAATTCAGTAGTTAATTTTTATATTATATAAGATATATATCTTCTCTACAGCAGGAACATAATGTACTGTAAAAACTTCTCTCTCATTGGAGATGAGTTCATGGGACTAAATTTAGGTTCTGCTCGGGAGGAGTAGTACAGCTACTCTCAGGGGTTGGCTGCTGTGCTGTTGTTAAACTGTGATTGAATTCAGCCCCAAACCTTCTGACTATGACAGTATTCAGTGAATGTTAAACCTCTATGCAGATGATACTGTAATGTTTATCTATGTAGGAGAAATATTTACAAGTGAAGCAGAAACATATAAAAATCTATGTGAACTTACAGTTTTTCACCAACCACAAGTTGTCTCCTGGTTGATCCCTGCAAGAGCAGAAATAACCACAACATCAAAAAGATTAACATGATTTTACTGTAAACATGTAGTTATATTAAACAGTTTGAACCTGACAGTCTGGCTGCGGTTCAACTCACCCCAAGTCTTCTTTGTTTGGGTCTCTCAGATTAAAGAGATGGATCCCAGAGGACAGAGACTCCCAGGGAAGAGTCTCTAATGGCTTCTCTTCTTCTTCTATCTCATTTATCCTCTCGTCTTCGGTTGACACCAAAGTGGAGTCTTCACTCCACTCTTCACTCTCACATCTGTGCTCGGCTAAAGTTTATATACAGTATAATACATGTAATGCTGTAAAATCATAAGGCAAAGTTTTTTTATTTAAACACAACCCAGACAAAAATATCGATATTGGACATTGGACTATTATTGTTACTCTGTGCATGGCAACTACTGGCAGGTTCTCACTCCCAACTTGTCAAATATTGCGGCTTGGTCAGTTGCCCGCTGCTTCAAAATATGACGCTGTAGGTGTCTCTCTAGCATCATAGATGCGCAGTAAGCAAGAATAAAGTATAGTTAGACTTTCAAAATAAAGTTTACATGGTTAATTTTGTACAGTAACAGTTGCAAACAGATGCAGTTTGGATAGGTTAGACACAAAAGCTACTTGGTTATGATTAGGGAAAGATCAGAAATTGCGTTACTTGAATGAAACGTAACTCACATAACGTACGGGATGTAACTTTTGGGGGGATTGTTGCAGCCTAAAATCCCAATGCTTTTAGGATGTTTAAATGAAAATCGCAAAAATAGATTTTTTATTGTATAATTCATTAAAAATCAATGGCAACTTGTTCCAGTGAAAAAATCACTTGCAGTTTGGTGACGTATGGCTCAACGTTGTGCGAGGGACTGCTATGATTGATGAAACTCACTGGAAACTACAATGATTAGACAAATTAGCTGATTGCATGTTGCGATCGCGACATCACAACTTACTGAAAGAACTGTTATACAGCAGAGACAACTGCCAAAAGCTTAGAAAAAAAGGCATGAAGGCTGTGTTATTCTAAGTAGTGAAAAACATTTCTGAGGATGTATGAAATAATCCAGATTCAAAAATATTGACTCAGACAGTTTAGATACCATAGAAAGTTCTGGCTTTCTCCATAAATGTTTAGTTTTGAAACAGTGAAATTGAGCCTACCTGTTTTAGGGAGACTTGTCGGTTCAGTTTTCTCTGCAGATACTTCCAGTTTGTCCATCCCGTCTTTCATGTTGTTGTTTTTCTCTGCATCGACTGTCTCTTCCTTCTGTTCAGAGAGATTTCCCCTAAAACCATCATCCAATTGTTCCTCTCTCGTCTCTGCACTGTCCTCTGTTTTTTGAGAAGTCTTTTGGTCTCTTCTGAACAGACTCTTCAAGGGTTCATCGGTCCTTTCAGCTTTCAAGCTTTTTATCTTAAAGGTGTTTAATGAGTCTTCCTTCGCAGTGTTTCTCTCCTTCGAAAGACCAGTTCTTAAGACGTTAGAGATGTCGTCTTTAAAATTACTGAAGTCTTTGAGTAAGCTCAGACGGTCGATAGTCTTCTCTGTGGACTTTGTCTCTTTGTCCTTGGAAAAACTCATGCTGAAGACCTTGGTCACATCTTCTTTCAGAAGACCGAGTTCACTGTTGACAGGTTTATTTTCTGCTTGACTCGATGGGCAGTCTTCATGCTCTGACTTTGTCTCTTTGTCCTTGGACAAGCTAATGCTGAATATCTTGGTCATGTCTTCTTTAAACTGGCTGAAGTCCTCCTTCAGAAGACTGAGTGTACTGTTCACAGGTTTATTTTCTGCTTGACTTGGTGGGCAGTCTTCATGCTCTGTCTTCGTGTCTTTGTCCTTGAAAACTTTCAACACGTCTTCCTTAAAATGGTTGAAGTCCTCTTTGAAAAGACTCAGTGGGCTTATGGCCCTTTTGTTCCTCTGACCTGTCTTGAGAAGGTCTTTCTTACAGTCTGGGTCTGATTGATTGATCTTGTCATCACTTTGGAGACGTATTTCAGGCTCTTTCTGGTCATTTTCCTGTGAAGGTTCCTCAACAAGACTCATTTTCTATCTTTTCTAGTCTTGTAAAGTCCTGTTTTTAAGCTCTTTGTTGATGTTATCTGATTTTACAGAGGCCTTTCAGACGCTGTGAATTATTTCATAGTCGGAGACGTCAGAGCGAACCTGTTTTACCAGATCAATGTGGAATTAAGTAGGATTAGTAAGGATTTTACATGATGTTTTGTCTAGAAATAACATTTTCTTTTTTTTCTGTAACTTTTCATTCCCAATCATAAAGAGGAGCTGTTGATTATCATCTAGAGTGGTGACCTCTGACCGTAATGTTAAGTTTGATGAATGATGAAGATTGAAACCAGAGTCATTTGGACAACACTATTTACTCTGTTTAAGTTATTAAGTGTCATCAGCGAAACATTCAGGCCCCACTACGGTTTTGTGGCTCATTTTGGCCCCGCTCCCCGGCAGTATTCCCCACTGGGTCCCTCTGTTACTACACTAGCAGTGTTTAAACTCCCTCTGTCCTTCCAGCTAATAGGACCGCTAACTAGCTAATAGCAGCTAGTACAGTTAGCATATGCAGCAGTGCAGCGGTAAGAGACTTCCTGTGTAACAAGAGAAAAGGTCCATGTTGCAACAATACTCTGATACTTTGGTTCCGGTGACAAGGAGCAGATTCTGAACGCAGTTTAACGATGGTTTTGTTTTTTCTGTGACGGTCAGACTAAAGAAAAGTGTGATGATGTCAATTTTTAGTTGGCAGTTCTATCAAATATACAGCAACAGTCAAATATAAGTTATATTCTGAATTCTTGAATTGTCTTTGATTAGGTCTTGTCTCTTACACAAGCAGTGTATGTAAGTTAAATGATTTGGGCTCAAATTAGGGTCAATATGTTTGCATGCTGATAGCATTTAGCTCAAAGCACAAGTACAAACTCACCGAGCTGCTGGCATGGCTGTAGATTCATCTTATTGATCAAATGTTTCAGTCTATCAGATAAAAAACGTCTGAAACCTTAAAATAATTTTACATTTAAATCACATGAAACAGTTACAAGCAGAAAATCCTCAAACTGGAGAAGCTGGAGCCAGAAAACGTTTTTTTACTGAATTAAAAATATTGGTCAGATACTCTCAGGTCTCATGTTTGTCTCTATAGCTCTCAGCTCATGTTCAGGCTTGTTTAATCTGGTTTCAGTGGTTCCCACAGATCAATCGGGACATCTCTGTCAGATACTCACAGCTGCTTTAGGCTCCATGTTTGTGTCTGATTCCTCCGTTTAAAACAAAGTCATTAAAAATCTAAAATCCAGACCTGTATTCTCAGTGGGAAAGCTCTCGCTGTGGCTCTAATCTCCGTCTGTCTCTGTGTTTGAAAGGACGCTGACATTCTTCCATTCTGCTGTTTCTGGTTCGACCAGTTTGTCTCCATATTTCACTGCTTAGCTGATGAGCTGGAGGTGCTTAAGGAAGAAAGCAGAGTGAAAATCCTCCACAGGGTTCAGCTGCTTCATCACAGCCATAAAATCCAGTTTATTCTCAGTTTCACTCCATTTCTATTTACATATTAAAATGTCCAACAGACATAAAAATGTTTACAGCCTTTTGGTCTCTAGAGCTAATTTCCCCGTTCGTGACAACTGTACATTTATACAACTCACCCGTTTAAATGTTATTAAGGCTTAAAGTTATGCATAATTAAGTTAAATTCATTAGTTTGTGTTTAACAAGCTGTTGAAAATATTCATGAGATGTTTATGTATTTATGTTGTTAAATTACAGTTTGTTAATCTGGGACAGTTGAAGTTTCTGCACTGTTAAATAAAATGTGAAAGTCAGTTTACTCTTCATGCTGGTTGTCGGGGAGAGGAGAGGTCTGACTTTATAATGAATAAATCATCTCAGCTGTGCTCATTCATTATTCAGCAGGATGAACTCAATGTGACCTTTGACCTACTAAAAAATGAATAATGAAAAACAGTAAGATTTAATTTATGTTGTTTATAAGGATTTATTTATTGTAGGATGTTTTTACAGTTTGTGTAAAAGGTTTATCGTTCATGTTATTGCGTCTCTTTATCTTTTTTCTTTTATATGTTTAAAATAAATACAAAAATAGATCTTCGATAATCAGATTACACAAAGATTAATTCACGATTAAAGTTTAATTAACGAAACAGTGAAAATTTTAATATATTTAAATGAAACAAACAGTGGACTGAGAACAGATCCCTGAGGGATGCCACAATTAAACTGAGCTACAGAGGAGATATGATTGAACGTACATAGATACAGAGACCAGTGGTGGAAAATACAATTTAATCAAATAATAATTATAACAATAATAACTTTAGATATATAGCAGACAAAGCAAAATAATCACTGTGATACACAAAATGTAATTAAAAATAAGAATAATGAATACCAAAATACAATAATAAGAGCATAGAAACCTTAAAAATAAAATGAAAATTTAAAAAAAGTGATTGAAAAGAAGTGATTTTCCTCAGGCAGGTCAGTGCTGATGGTGTTAGATTAGATTGAACTTTAGAACAGCCAGAAGGGCCACTGACAATATATATAATGAAGATATGTAATAATAAAAAAACAATACCATGCACTCGACTTTTTCTGTGCTCAGATCTGTTCACAAACATATTT